CAACTGCCTGGCCCCCGCTGAAGTGTGCTGCGGCCCAAGCTCGACTACTCTAACACAGCGCCCGGTGTTGGAAGACTACTCCCTACTTCAGTGCTACTGTGCCTAGCACATCGACTACTGAAGACTACTAGTGCTACTTCAAAACTACCTGCCTAGAATGAGGCTGGCCCAACTATATATAACGCCGAGCCTAGTGTCCTAGGCCGAAAAGAAGAACAATCTGGCGCCAAAAGGAGTGAACTGGCGAAAAGTCTAGCGCCAAACTGACGAAAATACGAAAGGGAACCAGTCTAGCGCCAAAAGCAGTGAACTGGCAAGGAAACCGGTCTGGCGCCAAAGCAGTGAACTGGCGAGGAAACCAGTCTGGGTCAGTAATGGTCCTACCTTAGTCTACTAGCCCACGGGCACCTAGAGCCCTACCAAAACCCCTAACCCTACCGGCAGGCCTGCTCGGGCCCATGTGGGATCGTGGCATGCCACACCCTCCCCTCCTTGAAAGACCGAGCCTACCGGACGAAGCTGTCGATCGGAGGGAGGGACCGAAGTCCTGGGTGGTACGGGCAGGTTGTGAAGCTTCTTTTCCAAGTCGTCGCTTCTCATAGTCGGCATAGATAAGCGGGGCCGATGCTTGCAAGTCTGCTCGTGAAATCCATCGTGTGTCGTCACGGTCGCATTGCTTGAAGGTGACTTTGTATTGCATTGGCTTATTGTCATACTTGCGATGTGTGACGACGCGATCGATTTCCTGGTGACAAGGAGTGTCCTGCAATTGTCGGCCCGAGAAGTCGTTGCTCTTGGCTGGTGTGTACGTAGCCAGCTTGGAGGCGTATAAGACTGAGTGGACTGTTAGATGTGGCGGGATTTCGATCACAAACGATGGGCCATCGGGCTCGTCGCCCACGACTGATTTGCCGGTCCATGGTCCAAACCACTTGGGGAGGAGTTTGCGAGAGATGTCTTGTTCTAGTGCGAACTCCTCGGAGGAGACCCATACCAGGTCGTCGACACGAATAGGACGTGGCACACGACGCCGATTAGCTTGCTGCTGCATGCGAACTTGAGCCTTTTGCATGTTTGTGCGGGCTTTGGCCAGCAAGTCCCGGTACTTCCGTACGGAGGCGGGAGACCAAGGAGGGTCAATGTTGGCTGCCCGAGGGAATAGAAGATCGGTGAAAATATGACCTTTCCAGCCACCGTGGTGCAACTCGAAGGGAGTCACTCCAATTGCCGGATGCAACGAAGTGTTCTAGGTGGATTCGATGTCGGGGAGGCGGTCAACCCAATCTTTCTGGTCTGGCTGGATGAGCGTACAAAGCATCATTTGAGCGGTTTGATGTGTCCGCTCCGTTTGCCCGTCTGTTTGTAGGTGCCGAGCCGAACTCGATTTCATCTCGGTGTCGGATTCCTTCGTGAGAGAGGTCCAAAATGCCGACATGAATCGAGTGTCGCGGTCGTTAACGATGTCTTCCTGAACCCCATGGCCGCAAATCCAGCCGGTGTGCTAGAGTCTTGCTAGCTCGGGGGCTGTCGCATGATACTTGCAAGGAAGAAACCGCACACACTTACTTAGTCGGTCAACGACCGTGAGGATACCATCGTGCCCAAGGCGATCTCGTGGGAATGGTCCGGTGAAGTCCATGGCGATAGACAATAAGGGTTCCTAAGGAATCGACAATGGGCGCAACTCGTTGTAGGGGTTGTAGTTGCGGGTCTTGTTGCGTCGACAAACCACGCAAAATTCGCAATACCGTGTGACGTCGGTGATGACGTCGGACCATCGGAATCGTTGGCGAAGTCGAGTAATCATCCGGTCGACTGCGAAGTGTCTGGCAAGCCGCGAGTCGTTGTACTCCCCAAGGAGGCGAGTCCGTAATCGACGGTCCCGTGGAGCGCATAGCAAGTCCTTGCCTTGCGAATGGAAAAGCAAGTACCTGTCGACGATGCGGTAGTGGCAAGCCGGCTGGTGGTCCGAAGAACGCTGCTCATAGAGAGTGGCATAGTCCAGATTTGTATTGTATGCGCGTGCAAAATGCTGATGTATGTCTTCGTCGAAGTCGAAAGCATGGTGTATCAATGCGCAAAGATCGGCTCTTCGTGAAAGAGCATCCACTCGAGATGTGCTTTGGCGTGAAGTCGAACTGGTCAATGAAGTACATTCATCTCCCGATTGTGATACCCAACGTGTCTTGCATCTTGTAGTAGGTCAATAGGTTGTTGTCTGTCACCCAAGTGAACCTACAACGCCCGAGGAGGAAGTGTCGTCAGCGTTTGAGTATCGTGATGAAGGCCAGCAACTCCTCCTTCCTCACGTCATCAAGTGAGTTGATGGGGGGCACCTTTCGGCTTACTCAAACGGATGACAGTCTACGCTGTCGTGTTGTTCCAAGATTGCGCCAATACCGGAAGCATTCATAGTCACTCTCGTAGGCAAAGTTGGGTAGTAGATGCTCAAAATGGGAGCCATAAGCATCATTGTGCCGGAAGCATTCATAGTCACTCTTGTAGGCAAAGTTGGGTAGTAGATGCTCAAAACGGGAGCCATAAGCATCATTGTCTTAAGCTTGTGGAACAAACTTAGGACTTCGTCAGTGAAAAAGGACACCTTCAGAGACTGCAGTCATGACAAAGGTGCGGCAATCTGTGCGTCTCCGCGGATGAAGCGTTGATAGTACCCGGTCAACCCCATGAAAGAGAGATCCTTTTTGGTGTTGGTGGGTTCCGAACAGTCTTGGATGGCTTGAATCTTGTCCGCAAGCGGACGGATGCCTTGTGGCGTTACAAAGTGACCCAAGTATTGAGCAAACTCGCACTTGGCTCGGTTGGCCTTGTACTTGGTCATACATAGCCTCTCCAAAATGGCACGTAGGTGCGTGAGGTGCTCGTCCAAGGTCCGACTATAAACCAAGATGTCGTCGAGGTAGATCAGCACGATCTGGTCCAACATGTCGTGAAACTCCGTTGTTATTGCCGCTTGGAAGGTGGCTGGTGCATTTGTGAGGCCGAATGGCATTCGACCCACTCAAGTGCCCATACCCCGTCTTGAAACGTGATCTTGTACCGATCTCGTGGATGGATCTCGATTTGGTGATAACCGAACTTGAGGTCCAACTTGGAGAAGTATGTGGCGCAGCCCAAACGTCCGAGAAGATCGTCGATGTGCGGGAGGGGGCCTGCATTCTTAATGGTTTGCGTGTTACGCTTGCAGTAGTCAATGCATAGCCGCAAGTCTTTGTTCTTCTTCCGAACGAAGAGAACGGGTGCACTGTCGCGCGAGCAGCTAGAGCGAATCCAGCCTTTCACAATGAGGTCATTGAGTTACATATGAAGCACCTCTAGTTCCTCCTTGCTCATGCGGTAGATACAACCGAGCAGAGGTACGGCCCCGTCCTCGAGGATGATCTTGTGGCGAATAGACCGATTTGGTACGATTGCCGCAGGGGCTTCGAAGGCGCCGCCGAAGGAGTCAAGAAGCTCTACAATTCGTCGATCCGGTGGTACTTCCGACGCTGGCTCGTCCGATGCATGGAAAAAGCAAAGGCCCATTTCTTCAACGTCATGACGTGCGATGGAGTTGCGAATGCTCACCGTGGACACCACGTGACAACCAATTTAAGGGTGAGGTGGAGGAATCGTACATGGGACTAACCTGACATTCCGATCACGAACGTGAACGGTGCGACGATAAAATTTCAGCGGGTGGTCCTCACTTTTCAGCCACGACATGCCCAAGATCATGTTGAACTTGGTGTCCAAGGTGTCGAAGGACATGGCCTCTCGTGTGTGTGGGGCGAAGTACACGGGCACCGTGGCAATGCACCAGCCAATGGACTTGTGCGTGTGATCGTCGACCGACGTGACTTGCGTGGGCTGCAACTTCCTTCAAACGCGCGGCCCGAGGTGGTGTGCGCCATGAAGTTTTGGCTGATGTAGTTGCGAGTAGCTCCACAATCGATCAAGGCTCTGCGGGTCGCCTTCCCGATATGAATGCGGATGTAAAGTAACGGCGCGTTGATGTCGCCGTGCCGTTGCATGGCGTACTCACGGTCAACCTTCCCAAGGTACTCTCGAAGGTCAACAACCGCTACTCCGTCTTCCGTCAATAGAGCAGGTCTACCATGAGTGTGTTGCAATGCGGTTTTGGCAAGGAACCGGACGGGGGACAAAGCATCCCTTGGAAGTTTTCCATAGTCAACGGGTCGAGGTCCTCAACTCTCGACCAAACCGACGAATCCCTGGATGATGGTAATGATGGCGAAGAAGTCAGATCACTTGCCGACGGTGCTGAAAGCGCACACACGAGTCTTGCACATGGAGGGGTAGTTCCAACGGAGGGACCAGCTGGACAGCGTCGTTGTCATACAAAGTATGCGAGCTTGCAACATCCGCATGCTCCCCGGACGTGTAGGAAGTTGCTAGCAAGGCAACCGCGTCCGGCGGAATGGGAAGTGGAGTCGCCTCACTTCCCGCGGAGCTTAGTTTCCCGAGCTTGGCTTGGGTCGAACATCCTCCTTGCCTTTGTCGGGGCATTGGGAGGGGGGGTGTTTGGTGCTGTTGCACCCAAAACAGCATCTGTACTTTTGCCAGAGTTTGAATTAATCCTCCATGAGTTTGAACTTTTCCCAAGGCTTGTTCGGCTGTCCGGCTTCCGACGTTGGCGCGGATTTCGCCTTGTTTCCTCTTGAGTTGGTGCGTCGCGGCGGAAGGGCATTCACTTGGTCTCCTTCACTTGACCCTGAAGTTGATGCCGGGTCTTCATTAGGTCCACTTAATTGGACTGCAGCAACAGGTTGTGTCCGTTGCCCTTTTCATTTCTCCACGAAGTTCGGCTGCCCTTGTCTCTCGTTAGCGGCACACCGATTTGTTTGGACGATGGCGCGAGCTCAAGTGACGATTGCATCGAAGTCCTCAAACTCCTCCATTTTCTCAAACGGTAAGTTCAAATGGCAATTATCTTTTGCCACTCAGCCAACCAATCACGTGTAGGTTGACTTCCTTGGAACATCTTGAAACGTTGGTTGATGCCTCTCGCCTTGGTGTCCTGCACGATGAAGTGTGCTTTCCACTGGGCAGTAATGGCGTCCCAATTAAGCTTGCTGTCTAGGTTCTCCACATTGACCCCTTCCTTGACCGCTAGGAGATTAAGCCATACTCGGGCCGCACCGGTGGAATTGAGGTAGAGTGCTGCAATCTTGAGGCGCTCGGGGACTTCGCGAAGTCCAAGTTCGGTGGTGAAACCTTGCCACCAAGCGAGCGGATCGGTCTTCGTGTAGTCGTCAAACTTCTCAATGCGGAAGTTCGGCATCTTGAGCGGAAGCGGGTGGCTGCTGCTTGCAGGTTGCTGCTGCAGTAATCGGACATCAGCCTTCAACGTTGTAAGCTGTTGGCTGATCGTTGCTGGTTCCGCGAACGTGCCAAGGTTGCTGATTGTGGCGACTACATGGTCAATCCACTGCTCCAGCTGTCATGTCGGCGGCTGGTGGGTATTCAGTCCGCTGCCTGGTGTGGCGGCGTCCAGGTTCTCCAAGTCCTCGGTGCGGGTATGAAAACTGCAGTTGGTGTCATCTTGCTGGTCCCGGTTGCTGTCAATCACCCGCGCCAAGCGCTGCAGCTCCTGCTGCTGCCAATTGCTCGTTGCAATGAGCGGTGCAATGATCATGGTGATCTCCTCCTTGGGCTTGTCTGCTTCCGTCAGATTGCAGTTGCTCCAGCTGTCGTGTCGACGGCTGGTGGGTATTCAGTCTGCTGTCTGGTGTGGCAGCGTCCAGGTTCTCCAAGTCCTCGATGCGTTATGAAACCGCAGTTGGTGTCATCTTGCTGGTCCCGGTTGCTGTCAATTACCCACGCCAAGCGCTGCAGCTCCTGCTGCTGCCAATTGCACATTGCAATGAGCTGCGCAATGATCATGGTGATGTCCTCCTTGGTCTTGTCTGCTTCCGCCGGATTGCAGTTGTGCTCTGGCGGTGTCAAGTGCCGATCCCGAGCCCCGCTCCCCTCCCAACCAACCCCGACTTCCCTCAGTAGCCCCGACGCCAACCCCATGCCCCCCCCCCCCCCCCGACTCCCCCCCTTAGTTTCGATCCCGAGCCCTGCTCCCCTCCCAACCAATCCCGACTTCCCTCATTAGTCACGACGCCAACCCCATCCCCCTCCAACTCCTATTTCCTCCCCCATCCGTGTGCGATCCTGATTTTGCCCCCCTCCTTCCCCAGTCTCGAATTCGCGTCCCGTTCAAGATTAAAAAAAATTGCAGACCGTTCAAGAAAAAAATAGAACTTACCTTGATCCGCCATTTTTGCCGATTTCTTCTCGGTCTTCGTCACCCCAACCAAACAATGACCTCGTCCAAAAGAACGACTTCTTCTTCTCCTATTCGCAGCTATATGCTTGCTGAGTGGTGACAGACAGGCGTGACGGTCACCCTTCTCTCTCTCTCTCTCTCTCTCTCTCTCTCTCTCTCTCTCTCTCTCTCTCTCTCTCTCTCTCTCTCTCT